GGGGGATTATTAGAAAAACAAAGGAAACTCTGGCGAATTTTTTAAAAATTGGCAGAACTTAGACGAACTTTGGGAGAGCATAAATCACTCCATAGAGGTCCGATAAGGACGTGCCATACGTTGTTTTGAAGCTTGAGATGTCCTCTACCTTGTGGTAAAATTTGGTAAAATTCTAGGTTGGGTGTCGGCCTGTTGAAGGCAGAGAACACAGACTGCCCATTTGCTTACTGCACATGTGGCAGTTCTGGACCGGTTTTGGGAAAATTATTCCCGCTTCTTTTCTTGGTCAAATTAGGTGTATGATATATAAAATTGAAGTTTGAGGTGCCTAGTTTTTTGTATAAAAATTGTTTTAGTGAGGGATGTTTGGAGCTGTTTTGGGTTGGCTGGCAGCTTTACTTGTCCAACTTCAAACGGCGATATCCGGAGCAAACGAGCTCTAAATAACTCGTGTGATAGCTTCCTAGAAATTTAATTGAGTCTAGAATAACATACTAAAAGATTAGGAGCGCGGGTCATGCGGTTTGTCTGCAGAAAAATAAAGAGCGAACCATGTTCGGATATGTAGAAAACTTAAAAGTGAGATTTTGGCTAAGTGGGTTTATGGGAACCCCTTAGTGATTTGAGAGATGTAAAACAAGTTATAAAAGTAGTTTAAATAATTATTCCACAAAGATTTTACAGTTACGGTCACAGCTTTTATTTATTACGCTTTTTATTGTTTTAAACGTTCGCGTAATAAACGGAAAAAGTTTACTCGCATTTTTATAAATGAACTGCTGTGATTGTAACTACGCTTAATATCATAATTAATTTTAACAATACCGGTGTACAACGGGCTGTTACATTATACATGTTCAATATAAATGATCTATATGTGGATAGAAGCTTACTTTATGCACTATATCCCTATAAAGTTCAAAAGTTCAATGTTTTACTCTTATATTCAATTCTGTCCAAATAGGACAATATGTTCATTTGTAACATCCTATTTTTATAAAATGTCAATTAGCAATCTTTGATATAAAATTTTTATGGAAATAAAGTTACATGTTTTATATGATAAATGCTTGATCTTGCTAATGTGCCGAGAAAGGCAAGTGTGGAAGATGATGTTGTAGGTGTTTGAGAGAAAATGGAAATGAATGAAAAGATTAAGATCACATTGAAAAAGCTCTTAGACTAAGCTCAAAAGTTGCAAAGAATCAAAATGTGGTATAAAAATTGGGTAATCTTTGGATATATGATATGCTTGTTATATGCCTTATCCAACATCGATCCTTGCTATATGCTATAATTGATTTTGATGATGTCAAAGGGGGAGAAAATATGAATATCAAATTGAGCTTATGCATATTGTGAGGGGGAGTTGAGTTTAAGGTTTTATGATTGAGCTTTAAGAGTTTTGACATTACATATTATCTAACCTATGATATTAACCATTTCACTTGTTTCAATTTGAGCACATTTATTGCCATCATCAAAAAATGGGAGATTAAACGACTTCCTATGAAGCTAAAGCAATTTGTCAAGCTTTTGATGTTGACAACAAGAGTATGAAGAATTCAAATTAAAGAAACAAGTGTTTGGAGTTTAGAAAGACATATAATCATAGGTTAGCAATTTTATTTGTAACACCCACTAAGTCATAAGAGGTTGGTCCTTGCTCCACATACATTCAATTATTTTTGCATAGAAACATTTTCATTGCATGTGACTCATTCTTTTGGTAACTATATAACTGAAAGAACATTTTAGTAATTTTCTAAAACAAAATGAATTCTAGTTACATAAAAAAAATCAAATTTGAGTTGCTTTATAATTTTAAGTATGTATTGTGCTCTTAAAATTAATCTTGTCCATGAATCAAAGACCACATGACAGCCTTAACATGATCCCACATCTATTACAGTGACCACAAACACACACACATACAAAAAAAAGAGGGCTAACAACTTATCTGTCAAAAAGTTACCATCCTCTTTATAAAAAAAAAGAGCACATACATTGGTTTACATCTTTAGAGCGAAAGAAAAAAATTGCCTTCAAGAAATTAAGGAACTTTTTCATCCAAACGTTGTTCATCCTTTCATTCAAAGAAATTCTTTTCATTTTCCCTTCTAACTTCATCTTGCTGAAATCTAGGATCACAAACCCACTCCTTACCTTGAATCTCTTCTTCGATTTGGGTTTTAAAAAGTGTGAGGAGATAAATTGATCTGTGGTTATTGATCCTGACATAGAAAATTCCATTTGGTGAAAATCGTTCAAAGAACTAAGGCTATTTGTTAACCTCTTTCATTTCTGAATTTGGGGATTTTGGGTATACATTCATTCATCATAAATTATGGCGCATCTCATTCATCTTTTGGAGCAAGGACAACAATCTTTTTGACAATTTGGGTGATAGGCGCTTTGCTATAAATTTTGCACAATAAATGTCCATATTTTTTTAAACTTCCTTTGTATATTTTGATACATTTTGGTTCCTTTTGTTTCTGTTTAATCCCCTATTCTCTAGGCTAGTCCTAGGAAGGGTTTAGGTTTTGAGATGTGAAACTTCCTCTTAGTTCGGTTTGAGAAGACCTTACTGGTTGGAGTGTGAGATACACGTTGGTGTGATCTCTTGAGGCTGAGAAAGGATCAAAGTCCTTGTCTCAGGCCATCCTCACCTCAAGTAGCTTGCACAAAGCCTGGAGCTTTGGAGATGAGGTTGTTGAAGCCTATTTCCAGTGATTGCTTGAACTATTAGTGTAAAATTTTTTCAAGAATTAGTGGAACCTAATACTAGAGTGCTTTGTTGGCCTTTAGGTGAGATGTAGCCCGGATTGTGGGTGAACTCGTTAAATCCTTGTGTTCATTTTTTTTCTAACTATGTATCATTCTTACTGCACTTATAAATTTTGAGAAGCATTGGCTTATTAGTTATGTTATAGGGAATCCTACATAAATAACTCATTCATTAGTGCATCTGATTTCTGTCTTGAGAAATATTTACCCGAGCAAAATTTAAAGAGTTACTCGAATATATTTTTGTATACAAGAATTCTTTTTAGTCTGATTAACAATTCTATATTTTACTGTTATATCGTGGTTGTTATTATCCCTTAAATTCACTCTGATTAGTTAAGTTCACTTAGTTTGTTTGATATATAAAATTCAATTTTATATTTTAAAATTAGACTTATGCATATAAAAATATCTTGAGCTTTTATCTACGCACAGAAGTTGCACGGTATATGGTACGACATTTTTTTCTCTTACTTCATTCTAGTATATTAGGGCATATAGGGACTTGTTGCATTCTATTAGAATTAAAGATAAAACATCTAGCTAATTTGGTTAGATTCTCTTGATTTTAATTCTAGACTTTACTAATTTCAAGATATACAAGCAAAATTTTTAATAAAATTTGAGAACACCTATTCACCTCCCCCTCTAGGTGTTCCTTAGTATCCTCCTGTAAAAAAGTCACTTGCCTAACATAAATTTTATAATTATCAAATTGGACAAAGGAACACCAACCAAAGTGAGAGACTACAATGACGAGAGGAGAAAGACGATGAAGAACACTAATTGAAGCGGACACTTGGATATTATACATATTAAAAGACTATTCGTTTACTTATGGAAAGGAACCCAACACTAGAACATACCACGTTGGAAGCCTATTCCTTTAAACATTGTTCTTTAAACAATTTTATATCAGCAAGTAACGCAGTATTAAATGTTAATTATTATGGATTTGTGAAGTGAATAAAATATGGATTTACATAAGAAAAGAAAAGTTGATAAATTGGTCATTGATAAAAAATAATAAATAAATAAATATGCGTTTTACCTGCAAGAGAACTTATCTTTTATTGCATCGGTCAACTACAATCATCGTTGTCACCTGACGATGGTATCAAAAGTTGTCACAAAAGAAATTTGGCAACTAATCATTCAGTTTTATCAAATAATTAGAATGGTTACAGTAATATTTCTTGCCATTTGAAGGTAAAGTGTTCTCACTAATAGTAACATATAATTTATAGGACTGCCATTAAAGGGAAAAACAATAAGTAAAATATATTCTTATTTTCTATACTAAAAATAGATTCGGGAGAATAATTTTTCTAAATAATTAAATAAAAGATAATGTTCCAAGCAAAATTTTATGGTGGATTCTTAAGAAGAAAAAAAGTACTATCAAAGTATGTAGAGAAAATCAATGATATGTATGATGGTGCTACTACATGTGTGACAGCTTGTAATGGAACATCAAGTTATATTTCTATCACGATAGGTGTACACCAAGGTTCTGCTATATGTCCTCATCTCTTTGCCCTTATTATGGATAAACTAATAAAAAATATTCAAGATGAAGTGTCTTGATCTATACTTTTTGCATATGATATTGTGCTTTTTTAAGAGACAAAGGCAAGTGTTAATAGAAAACTAAAATTTTGGATAAACATGTTGGATGTAAGAACCCGCACCGTTAAATTAGGAATTTAATTAATTAATTATAAAATTAATGATATAATTCCATAATTGACCCTAATAATTATGTGAAGACTTAACTAATTATGGTAAGTGATTAATAATATTGAAAGTCGCTTTTTCTGACGAAAAGTGCATTTATCGGTTCTGTTTCACGGTATAAATGCGTACCGATGAAGTATCCCGGAAAATAATAAAAAGTATGTATATATTACTAGAATAATATCTAGGACTAGTATGTCAAGTTTGGAGTCAAAATAATGAGAACTGGTGTCGGAACTAATACTGATAACGAGAAAAACGCGTAGCAGAAAAGTGTTGCGAAAAAATAAAATAAATATATGAAAATTTCTAGAAAAATATCTAGGTTAAGAATCTGAAAATTTTAGAGTTAAACGAAGAGCGAAATTAATTAAACTAATATTTCTAGTTTAACTTAAGTGACAATATAAATAGAAAAAAGGATCAAAACCCTAAGTTTTTTTACAAGACTCAGCAGCTGAGTGTGGCAGCCATTTGAGGGTTTTCTTGGAGTCTTAGTCTTCTCCCTTGGAAAGTCTCCAAAGTTTCCATCTTTTTCCTTCTCTCCTCCATTGAAACATCACCCAACCATTAAAGCTCTAGTCTTGTTGAAGGAGAATCCATTGTTGAAGGATTTAGGTGCCTTTTCAATCTCTAAAGCTTCCATTTTTTTTTTCTGTTTTAAAAAGGAATCAAGTAAAGTTAACTATCCCTTTATAAATCTATAATTTTGATTATAATCTTTGTTGTATGTTACCGTTGATTCAGAATCCATGTTAATAAAAAAAGAAAACGACATTTGTATACTGTGCGCTATCTTCCTCTATAGATGGCCTTTTGTTTTGTCATTTTTATGGTTTGGTTGCATCGATTTGCGTGACTCCAAATGAAATTTCTGCACTTTGAATTCGGTCACTGTGTACCCAATTTAGTGCATTCACGTTGGTTCAAGTTGTGTTTTATATATATATATATATATATATATATATATATATGAACTCAGGGCTGTTTCACAAAATGTACTTCTAAGTAATTGCTCTATAGATCCTATATCTATTTATATGAAGAAGAAATCCTGTAACGGGGGAATTCTTATTTGTGTATATATATATATATATATATATATATATATATATATGTTACTAGCCATTCAACGTACTGGTCCTTGAAGTCATCTAAGTTAGAAAAGTTTAGAAAGTATGCTTACTTTTACAAATATATATATATATATATATATATATATATATATTTATATTTATAGATATTATATATTATTGTGGCTATATATATATTTATAAGATAATAATCATCTAAAATTAAATAAGTTAAATGATACATCTTAGAAAGGATCTCCAGGTTCGAAATGAAAAAGAAAATAATATCCGATTTTCTTGGAATTTTAGAATATGTATATTGATACTATGATGGTCATTGAACTAGATTTGTGAGTGCATTGGATTCTATTTGTGGTGTGGACCCTTGTGATACCGAGTTCGAGTCAGAGGAGCATACGGGTACAGGTAAGCTTTCGTGTCCTCGGATTGATCTGTTGTTTGTTCCACCGACCTCCATGGGAGGGTGGTTTATATGCATGGTATGTTTTTATGGAAATGTTGTATGCATTGATATATGCCTGAGATATGTGAATATGTCTGTTGATTACTTACACAATCAGACTGCGACTCTGGTGTGTAAGGCATAAGACTGCGACTCTTATGTTTAGATGGGTCGCAGACGTGCATAATCCCTATCATGTTCCCTGGCCAGTCGAACCGCATTTGCATACATCACATGATTACTGAGTTAAATGTTAGCTCGTTGAGTAAGAGATTATAATGTCATGAAATATATGCGTAACATGAACATGCATTGAAATTACTGTTTTGAACTTATATTATGTCTGTAAGTGAGCTTGGGGCGGAAGAGTCCTTGAGGACCCCTTGTCTTACTGAGATTTCTTTTTAGAGATCTCACCCCACGTTTGGGGCACATTTTTCAGGATCAGGTACCTCGGGGGTTAATACCTCAGGCGGCAGGAGGTCGGAGCTGAGTTGAGATTTATGCTTTTATGATGATATGTCTGGATGCTGACATGTTTACATTTCTTATCATGTTATTGGACTTGAGACTCTATTGGGCTTTGTTGTCATATTTGGTGAGCATGGGGATTGTCCATGCCACATTGATGTTACTTATGCTTGTAGTTTTGAGTTGTATAAACTATCAGGATGGTTCGGTCTACGTGTTGTAGTTCCGTGACTAGAGACACAGTTACTTAATATATGACGTATTTCAGTTAGATGTTTAATTGCAATTTACATACAGGCGTTGTTTTGAAAATGATTAAGTAATCAACTTGGTAAACGATAATGACGTCATAATTGAAAAGAAAAAGTTATTCCGCATTTTAATTAAGCCACGCTTAATACGATGACATGTTAATAAACCGGGTATACACGAGGTGTTACATTGGAGTCTAAAGGATTTAGGCTAAGATGGAGAAAGACTGAGTATATAAAGTGTGAGTTTGCTATGGTAGAGATCGGAGATCAAGATTTCATATATATGTTTGGACAAGAGGTACTCAAGAAAGAAGTTTTCAGATATCTGAGAACAATTTGGCAAAAAAGTGGGAAGATTGATGAGAATGCAAATCATAGAACCAGAGCAGGTGGGTGAAATGGCATAGTGCGTCAAGATTTTTGTGTGACCGCAAAATTTTCCTTAGACTAAAAGGAAAATTCTATATAAGCAGACCTTCAATGTTATATGGAGCTAAATGTTGGACATCATATAGGTAACATGAGCATAAAATGGGGAGTAGCAAAATTGATGAAGTTTAGATGAATGTGTGGTCATATGAGGATGGATAAATAAGAAATAAGAATATTCTATGAAAGGTAGGGGTAGTACCCGTGGTTAAAAAGATGAAAGAACATAAATTGATGTGGTTTGGAAACGTAATAAGAAGACCCCTAAATGATCCTGTAAGAACAAAAGTTTGTTGTCAAGAGCTTGACACAAAAATGAAGAAGTAGACCGAAATTTACTTGGGGAAGGTAGTAAAATAAAACTTAATGGAATAAGATATAGATTGACGTACGATGCGTCTTAGGATCGATTTCAGTAAAGCTATTAGCATTATAGATGGTTAGATCTGATTTTCTTCTTATATTCCAGATGATCCATCTTTAGTCTTTTTCCCTTTTATCTCCCTTTATTTATTTTTTCTTTGCTTTTTTTTCCTCTTCATTTCCTTCTTTTCTTTTATTTATCTTTTTTCTTCTCAATCTTTCTTTTCTTATTTATTGGTTTATGTATTTTCTTTTTTCTTTATTTTTATCTCTTTATTTCTCTATTTTTTCTCCTCTTATTAATTTTTATTTTCACTTTATTTTATTCTTCTTTTTAATTTTTAATTTTTATTTTTTAATGGAAAATGTTATATATATATATATATATATTAAATTTTATTTTTATCAAATTTTCTTCAATCTTTTGGTACTTTTTATTTAAGTTCATTTGCCACCAACTTCAACTAATTTGGAATAAAAGTATTATTGATATTAATGTTAAATTAAATAAGGGGTTTGCATTCATCATGTAACATGACACAAAAAAGTTTCTTACACACACAACATTTTGTGGGGCCCGCATTTTTTGAAGCATAAAAAAAAACTAAGGCACGAAAAGTAAATCTCTATAACATGACACAATCACTTTTTCTCCAACCTAACTCTTATAAAATCTATTAAATAAATAACCCTTGTTTGTTACTTTATAACAGTTGTAATTTTACGAAGGAAAAAGACTGTAAGAATTTCTTTTAAGGATTTTATAATTATTATGTTACAAGAAAAACATTGTTTATTCGTGCTGACACATTAAATGGGAGAGAGAGCAAAGTGATATTAGAAAAGAGAAAACAAAATTTGTGGACCCCATATTTTGATTGTGTCTATATGAAAATAATTTTCTTCCTGTTACGTGATACTTGTAACTAACCCTTCTTTTAATTGGCTTCACTTTATGAGGAAATAAAACTAAAGTTTGTTGCGATCAATGATCAAGGCATGACAACAATTTTATTTGGGTCCTTAACCTTTTCTTATATAAAAAATGAAAACTTGAAACAAACTACACCATACACATTAAATTAATACCTTTTTTTTCTGTTTGATACATTAAATTGCATACTTAGAGTACTTTATCAGCAGTTATCTTTACCACTTATCCTAGTTTAAACCTCCAAAACCAAACTACAAATGGGAGCAATAAAATAAATCAAATTACTAGTTAGAAATACGTTTCAAATCACCTTTTATGTGCGATTTTATTTTAAACTTTTTGTTTTGGATAACCTTCTAATTTAATCTTCTTGTTTTGCAAAAATAATTTAAAAAATATATACATATGTGTTCCGAGTTCGTGGTTTGGGCTTAGGAAAGCCTAAATAGAGCCCACATTCGAGTTAGGGTATTGCGAGAAGGTACATCCATTAAGTCAAGAACTCGAACAAGGAGCCAAGAACGTGTGTAGAACTCAAGTGTTAGTCGTCTCAATAGGCCTACCATAATCCCAATAATGGGTTATCAATAATTAACCACTCTCATGTTAACCATTTGAGATAGCATATATATATATATATATATATATATATATATATATATATATATAAAAAGGGAAAAAACCCCACAAGGGACACATAAGAGATTACAAATATTTGTCCATAACAGAATTTGTTAAATATTCTTTTTATATATTTGAATTGGTTATTTGTAATATCCGTTGGCGACCATGGCCTAATGGATAAGGCGCCTGACTTCTAATCAGGCGATTGTGGGTTCGAGTCCCACTGGTCGTGCTTCTTTCTTTGTTTCTGAATATGTTAACTTCGAGTACCTTTTTCTTTCATGGGCCACGCAAAATAATAATAAACGGATATTTTGTAATATTCCTTTTTAAAAATTCCATGTGTTAGAAAAAGTCACAGTAGAGTGATAAATAAAGGTGAGTAGAACAAAAAAAATAGGCAAAATAACTCTATTTCATAAATTTACGGGAAAAGTGTTTATCCTTTTAAACGACCAACTTACATTATTTCACTCTCACAAAGAGGTGGGACCCACATCTTTATATTTTTTTGTCAACTCTCTATTCTCTTTTATCTATCTCTTTCTTTCTCTTAAAATGACACAACTTTACATCATTTAAAATGACACATTTTCCCCTAAATCTATATGAATTTGTAAAATATGAAAAAAAAGATCATTATAAACTTTCAAAAATTATGGTTAAAAACGGAAAGAAATAGTAGTTTAAGTGGAACCATAATTATTTGATAATAAAATGATTGTTATGTTTATTGATACATTTCATACTCTATTTTGACATTCGTCGATTGAAAGTGTATTTAATTTTAAACTTCTCATATATTGTTATGGGAAAATAATTTTTGTTTTTCCCACAAAAAAATATTTTGTTACACTCATATAAAAGTAAATGGATTCTATTATAAATAAAAAGAGAAATGTTTTTTATAGAACTCATGCACTTTTATGTGAGTATGATAAAAAAATATTTTCACATACAAAGCAGAGGTATTAAACCCTGTTATTATTATTATTGAAGGAAAATTGAAAAGTATAAAATAGAGTGAAAAATTCTTAATTCAACTGTGGCCGTGATTATGAAATTTCAAATGAAAAATGAGAAAATAAAGAGACACATCCCATTAGGTATGATCATATTCATATATATGAGACATGTTGCTCAAAATCTTGACCAAATATAGCTCTCAGCTATAATTCCAAGCAGCTTAGATAAGGGTCGATAATAATTTTAACATCAATTGTTCAATAGGCGCCCATGGCCTAACGGATAAGGCGTCTGACTTCTAATCAGGCGATTGTGGGTTCGAGTCCCACTGGGCGTGTGTTAAACATGTAATTTTTTATTGGAAGAAAATTAAGCCCTATATCTTTTGCAATGTTCTTTATAAACAAAAGATATAGTATTTTTAATGGGTTCGCTTTTTCTGCTGCTCTTATTGGAGCGGAAATTATAGTGTTTTTGTAATTTTAATTTATTTCACGGTGATAATAGTCTTTATATTTATAATTTTTTAAGATTTCAATACCAAAACGACGTCGTTTTGGAAAGAAATGCAGATAACTTATCTGTAGTAACTGCAGAAACATTTTTTCTATTTTTAATATGGGATATATGAATAGGGCTTATCATTTCTGCAGCCGTCGTAGATAACACTCTCTACAGCTGACACACAAAAATGAGCCCCACGGCATTTTTTTTTTTTTTTTAAAAAAAAAAAGATCCGGTACCGTATCCTAGAATCCGTACGTTTCATACTTTCTACCCTATATAATGATTATAACAGCGTTAAAGAAATGATTTACTTTCTTTTTTTTTGAAACAAGAAATGATTTACTTTAGATATGATTGCAGTGTGCAGCAGAGCTAAGTCTTTATCTGCATGCCTGGCTAAAAGATCAAAATGCAGCTGAAATTAACACAAATTATAAAATATTACACCTAATTTGATCACAACGGGAAGTGTATACAATTCAACACAACAACGGGTAATTGAGTAAATGGAATGTGGAATCTCATTGTTATAAGCATGAGGGAGTGTCATTGTTCAAGGATTTTACTTGAGCCACTTACTTTAGAGATAAATTAAAATAGAAAATATCAACCTTAAAGAAAAATCAACTCCTGATATTATATACATGAGGTAGGATCCTTTGATACCGGTGTCAAATTTGAAATTTGACACTTCATCTAAGAGCCATTAGATCAAGAAAAATCAACGGCTCTTATTTGTAAGCATGTGACACCGTTGATTTTTCTTGATCTAATGACTCTTAGATAAGGTGTCAAATTTCAAATTTGACACCGATGTTAAAGGATCCTACCTCTATATACATATATATACCAAATTATTAATTTATTAGAATTAGTCTCATAATTTTTTTTATTAGTGATTGATAATCCGTCAACTTTTCTCTAATGTACTCTTTAGATGGGACAAACTCTAAAATATATTAAAAACTTGATAAGGAGAATGTTGTCATTCTTGTAATTGTGTCTGATGACTCACCGGATTAATTGAG